AGTTATATCAATAAGAAAAATTCATCGTGATCCTAACTTTCGTCTGAATTCCTAAAACTGAGAATTACAAAATATAATTAATCTGCAACAGATTAACTTTTATTTGCCCGAGACAGTACTGAAACGGAAAATGGCTGACGCTTAGATGCACAGTCGGAAAAGAAATCATAGGTTAAGGGGTTAATAGGCGTCTTTCTATTTTCCTGTATATTTTCAAAACTACGATACGCATCTAAAAAAGAATTGTTGTAACGACGAATTTAACGGCTATTCATGCTCCGTGACGGAAGATAAAATTACGTTCAAACGAAACAGATGGCTCTTTTTGCACAGTTTTGCACGGAGCCGCTTAAAATTACAAAACATCGGGATTGAAATGAAACGCGAATGTTACATTTCTCGCTAAAGCGATCAGGCCGTAGATATCCCCGAGGGATAACATTATACCTAGATCATCCATGAAACAAGTAAAACGCGATAGAACACCGCGGTTGATTTTTCCGCGGCGAGGCGAGGCGAGGCGCGTGGGTGGATGGTTTAAACGAAGGAAAGAAAAAAATAGAAAATGTGGAAGAGGTATAATAGAGAGCACGTTTGCCAGAATGGGAAACGAGTTAAGGGACTCGGTATGGTTTCCTGCGGGTTAAGAACCGTTAAACAGCCGGCCCAGTTGTGTCACTGGAGACGAAGGAGGAAACTGTAATATGAGAGCCCTCGACATACTCCATTATTCACCACTTGAACGTAATATTTGCGGTGTGATATGGTTTCAGGATCCAATCCCCCGCGAAGATAAGCAGACGTTGCTTCTAGCACTTGCCATCTGCGACCCTATCCGAACTCTAACAGATTTTCGTTCCCATAGTATTGGATAACGCCTCCCCTTTTAACGTTTCCCCGTCTCTTCATCGTGTACAGCCCTCGTGTCCCCGAAACATAAGTAACCCGCTCCTTTTCTACCGTATCTCCTGCGTACAGACGTAATAAGATGGTTCGATTCTCGGTGATGAAGTGAAAAGGGATGTTGGAGAGCGATGCAGGAGAACTGGGGTGAGATCGAACTAGCACGGAATGTTTTTGGCGAATGAAACATTGTCTTTCGATACTTGTGTAGGAATACTACTGTGTGTATTGTTTACTACACTTCCCGTGTTAAATTAACGAGGGCGGAGTAAGAAAACGTTATCGATCTTCCTCTTCGAATAACAAGGTTTTAGTAAATGGAACTTTGCAACTGTTTGGCGGTTCTTTAGTTTGCGACTCTGTTCGTTTAGCGAGAAACTGTCTTCTGGCTTTTATTATACAAATATGAACTTCGATTGGGCGCCATAAAGTGCCACCCTTACTTCCGGTGTAGTTTAAAAATGATCCTCAAAGTGAGGGTAGAAATGGTCTCACTTTTCGGACATTTTCCAGAGAATCTTGGCGCCAAAGCACCGACGACTTAACCCTTTCGTTAATTTCTTATTCATCTACTGATCGTCGCGTTTCTAATTGATACTAAATTGTGACCAATCTTTGTTCGAGTACTTAAGTCGGACGCATGTGTCCCACTGGTCGCGAAAGGGTTAATTACGAGCGTTCAAGGACGGAACACAGAATGTGACAGTAAAGAAAAATAGATAGCAGTAAGTTGAGATTCTTATCAGTCAAGGAAGAAATCTGGTAAGAATGGTAAAATATTGTCACGAGGAAGTTAAACGAAAGAAGAGACACGTGATCTATTAGAAATTGAAGGAACGACGAAGAAACGAAGAAACAAGTTTCCCTGATTATAGGAGACATTTTATGCAAAATTGGAAAGATCGCCAGGTACGAAATTGAAGGTGTTCGATATCAGAGCGGAGCAAACGTTCAAAGGGGGATTGGAAAAATGTCACATTAGAAACTGGAAGACAGGAAAAGGGACGTTGTCGTCACTGTTCCACGAGGCATTTGATACTACCTTAACGAAAGCATCCCAATCTAAAGGATGAATCTAACGTTTCAGTATAACAAGACGAAGAACAATTTTCTATGTTTCAATTAAACATACTCCCTTTAAAAATACACACTCGCGTTAAAAAGTCGGAGAATGAAACTCTGTATCGAAAATACCTGTTTAAATGAGAAAAAAAAGAAAGTAAAAGTAAATAAAGTATTTCACAAAGAATTGACAGAATACATTTCACACTTTAGCCATTTGTTATCATTTTCTAACGTGAACATTTGCATCGACCAAATACGAGATACACATAATTCTTCAGACATTATTAAAAAGCATCCCTTTGATGCACGTCAAGCGTGTATTGTGTTTCCCTTGTCAGGACTTCGACGCTGCGTAGTTTATCATGAAAATATTATCGGCTTTCGATACTTGGATAAGCGCGAAAGCTGCCGTCTGATTATTGTCGCCTTCGAGACAGCTTTTCGATTCAATGGCGAGTGGGATTTTTATAGGCGATATGTTTATGTGGCACCGCGACGCGGAGATTTCTGAAACGGTTGCCGCATTATTTGGAAAACTGAGGAAACGGACGAAACGCGTAAAAATATGAATTCCAGATAGCGCATTTCAAATGGATCGTTTTATTTTTACTTTTTCCTTCGTGAATGCAGGAGCTTAGAGCAACGATAAAAAATAACTCCTTATTATACTTTTGTTGACGAAACTTCACGTGTTTATTTAGAATATTCGAAAACATGTGTAATTCTTTTAAGAAGCATTCATCTCCTTTTTTTCTGTAAATCCAATTTCCCCGAAAGCTAAGTTTCTTATGAATAAATTTTCCGTTTATTTTTACGTGTCGAATCATACCTAAACAGTACAGACTGAAAAGTTCCAGCAGAAAACTTGGGTTTCGTGTTTTTCATCGATCTGGAATAAATAACATAATTCGCGAGAACGATGTAAGATATTCAGCAGCGATAGCTTACATTTATTGTTTATTGAATTTACTAATTAAAAGTTGGACAGTTTTCTAACGATCTCGTTAGGCGCAATTAGCGGAAGTTAATGGAGTGCCGTATGAAATTGCTGGCGCGAGTCACAGAAACCGCTAATAAATCATCTTAAATCGTCAATTTCCAAGGTGTTTCCAGTTTCGCAACTTCACCACCTTCTTTCTCCCTGTCCCTTCTCACTCGACTGTGCCGAGTTTTCCCGTAAATTAACCGAGAATTATGTTCTTCTTTATCGTAACTTGCGACTGCGAAATTTGCTAGCCCTTGCACCATGCGATATCGGAACACTTTTATCATTGCAAACGCGAAAATTGTTTCTCTGCCGATAAGTAAGGAATTTCTCGTTAAGGATAATTCTCGCGATAAAAATCCAACGATCGATTATTAACGAACAAAGAGTTTCGTTCGAGATTTTGAAATATCGCCGAGGTGGGAAAATTTGCTATTTCTCTGATTTCTATTGTAGTCACATGTTATTTCGTTTGAAAATGTGTAATTAAAACGAGATACGGAATAGCGTATGATTTAATATACGCAATTGGTGCAACTGGTCCACTTTGAACGGTAGAAAAAAAATTGTTTCGTATTCTCTGGCTACGTAGCGATCCCTCGTTGTGATTTTTCATTTCATATCTCTCCGTTGGGATTGCTATATTTATAGCTTTAGCGACGATAGTAGAGAAATATTGAAACGTTCTCGTGCACTGACATTTCGCGAAATGCGTTCTGGGTCATCGAGAGAGGATTGACTCTCTTCCCTGACGTTTCACAAACATTCGTGTATCATACAACGGTAGTAACGAAGAGTTAAGCATGTTTCGCTCTGGAATACCCAGCTGGGGGAATATAGTAACCATGATGCTTTGTAATTGGAATATCTAATTAAAAGAAGCGTTCATTGAAAAGTACATAAATACTCGAAATTCTACAAATTTAATTATGTAGTACCCAATATCTAACTGTTTATACATAAAAATTTCCATATTGATAATGTATAGCACGACACTTTTTATGAACAACAGTATTTTGTGCTATGATTACACGACTGAAAACCACTCGAAAAATATTCAATAAAATGCAACGATCGGTATTTTCACATGACAGTAAACATTGACACACAATAATTTCGTACGTATTCACCCTTTCGCTGCGACAAATTTTGGTACATAACGCGCGTCGCAGATTCAGATGTTCCACAACGTCTGCAAAATTAAAATTTGTTTTATCGAATTAACGTGGAAGAGTGCGGAGGAGTTATCATAGAAGTGCGCCGAAAGGCTCGAAAATCATAAATTTTTAAAATTTCAAAGCGCCTATAGGCGCCAATAGCAGTGAAATGGTTAAGAACAATTCACATTAAAAACATTTTTCGATACAATACACAATTTCGAAGATATTTCAGGTTCTACTCTCAAACGACTCACCCTGTATACTTTCAAACATACTCACTTAACCCTTATGTCAATAACCGGGTACCTTTTTGCACATTTTCTCACTTGAAATATTTCATCCTCCCGGTAAAAGATTTGAATATCCGGCCGGATCGTTGTTGTTTGGCACATTTCCTAACCGTGTTTGCTTCAACTTTCGAATTTCGTTATCAGACAGCTACTAAAATTGAACGATAAAGTAGACGACAATTGTGGTTATCGACATAAGGGTTAAACAAGTGCATTCGGTGCGTCTAAAAGTTTCGACCACAGAGCTCTCCTTTATTCCAAAGAAGAATTCAGTAAATCTAAGGTCGCGAACAGTAACGGAAACTTTCAGTACGACTCAATGTATCCTATGTCCACCGTGCTCTTGCAATCAAGCCTAGGTGACATTTTACTCGCGAGTACAATAGCACGCGACGATGGTTTAATAACTGTTACTAGAGGGATCGGCTGGTGAACCGGTCGGAATGGTCACGTTCACGCGGCGCGAAATCATTCCGACGGGACTTTATCCTTTTTGCAAACAACAAGTCGATAAACAAACGAACGAACGAACGAACGAACGCGCGGAGGAGTGAATGAACTGCGCGCAATTCACGGCGTTTGCGTACGTTGTTTCAGGGAGCAGCGAGCCGTGGGTGAAGCACGCCGAACTCGGCACAGAGGTGCAACTGCCGTGCGAGCTGAAATCGCCGCAATGCAAAGGGCTTCACAGCATCAAATGGTATCGCGACGGGACGCGTATCTTCATTTTCAGCGAGAACACCGGAATAACGCGCGGCAACATCGACATCGCCGTCAGGTAAAGCACACGTATCTCAACTTTATTGTTGCCTCGCCCACGACAAAGACAAAGGCGAGGAACTGATATTAACAGGAACGACACGATGCTCTACCGCGAGAACCATCACGCACTTTTCCGCTTCCATTCTTTGACCTCTGTCTAAGATTCTCTGTTTAAGTTTCAAGTGGTTCCGTGGTTTTTCTTTTCTAGGCCGTTAGACATCTTCGCATGTTTTCAGATAGCTAAAGTCTTTCATATTCAAATTGTTGGAATTTATCGACAAGATGAGTACACGCGCTTCTTACGGCGCGGTTTTTGAAATGGGGTTTATTGCACCCTTTGCTGGTTTGAAGACTGGGGAAAGCCAGTACTGTTAGAAGACTTTTCAATAATTAACTTCGCGACCATATTTGTCATTCAATATCAACTGCCTATTAATTAGACTACGTGTTTCCGCTGTTACTGTGTTTAGCAATAAACAACCTATTGAAACCACCTGTTGTTTTTTCCAAATATAAAAATTCCAACACAAATAATTCTTGAAATTGATAATAGTCCTTTTTGTAAATCTAACGGTACAACGTGAAACAATCGCATTGTAGCAAATGAGTTTCATCAACACTTTGCGGCAGAATAAGCTATCAACAACATGGACGACGAGCAGTTAGTTAGTTAAATAGTCCTAATGCGATATCTTGCTTATGATAGTGTGGGATCAATTCGTCAGGGAAAAAAAGTATACGCTGTCGCATGGCGCGCTACTTTCAACTGCCTTTTGTTCCCGGGCCCGCGTCCTCTTCTACGCTTGGCTTTTCGCTCACGCCGCGCCGGTACGCGCCAGACTCGATCTGCCGGCGGATCAGTCACCACAATACTGTAGGAATTATTTTAAAGAAATTCCACGTGAGTGAGTTAGGGACGCAGAAGTGATTCTTAAATACTCAATACCAAACACATTCCTTTCGCATCTCTGTCGCTCTGATTAAAAAATTTCTCGGTTATGCTTGAAACTCCAGCATATTCTGACTCGTTACAAAAGTTCGCATGAAATTTCCGTTAGTAACATCTTACAAAAGAATTCTTCACGTCGAGGAGAATATTTGAAAAAATTAAACACGTTGGAACGGAGATCTCTAGATTGGCCTACTTTCTCCATCTAATCCTGGATTACCTGCTGTTCAGTATCCTTGCAATGACACCCTCCGTTGCCGGAAGCTTTCAAAGAATCGCGCGGATCACGGTAATAATTCTGCTGTTTTAATTTCTTCGATGTAATACTCATTTTACTGCCTTCTCCACCGAATTGAACGAGGATGATTCTTTGCAGCGTGTGATCAGCGTTCGAGTGAATTAAAAAGGAAGTTTCCGTTGTTCATAAGTATCAAGACATCTGTTATGGTTGTACGGAAAATATTTTGTAATTTAAATTGCATTTCCTCGGCAGAGTTAGTATCATATATCAGCAAAAATATACAGAGTGTTCGCGTTATTAGTTTATGTCTTTGAACATATTGTTCAACGGTATCAACGTCTGCGGTATTATTTTATCTTAAAACCAGCAGTAGCAGATAAATTAGTTTATGCGAGTTGGGTCGAAATAATGAAAGTTTCTATATGTATACACTGCTAGCCGAAAGTTTAAAATCACTATGCACTGAAACTACGGGAAAAGTTTCAGAAAATAGTTAGAAATTTAACAAACTTTTAATGAATTTTTTATTGCCCAAATCGAAGAATATTGTTACTGATTCGTGCAACGTTAATTGCAAATCCATAAAAATTGGCAGTAGAAATATTTAATGATTTGAAGTGGCCAATTCACTGTTTCGTTCACCTTTTCAAGGCTGTTTCAAGTGGTCCAAACAGGTAATAACGCAAAGAAACAAAGTCAAAACTACAGGCGAAATGTTCTTGATAGATTTTAGCTTCCAACACATCTTCAAATCACAAAAATCTGAACGTAAGTAGCTTGCTGTTACTCCTCAGTGCACACTAACAATGGAACAGGCACATTAACATCTTCGAAACAAATGACAGAAGTGCGGTATCAGATTGAAATTTCCTATGGAAAACGAGTGACATCTAAAGCTGCAGCTTGCAAGCACAGCTCGTACTGTTGTCCCGGTACAAAGTTATAGTCTTGTCCAGGATAATTGTTGACTTGCCCTCCTATGTAAAATTTTAGTAGATCGAATTTCACGCGTAGTTATTATTTTCTACCAAGTGTTTGCTATATTTCATGCTCACAGGAACTTGTATTGGAGCGAATAGTAGCCTAATATCCAGCAAACAAACCCCATAAACAAGATTATTAATTCTGCTCGTGCTTTATTGCGGTATTCCGAAAATTTGCTGCAGCGATATTACACAAGCAAGTAGAACGAGGAATTACACCGCGTACTAACTACTGACAACCTCGGTAAATTTACCTTCAAAGACTAATTTCCATCTGTTTAGCGGAGAATAATTTAAAGAATATTTCAGTACTGATAAAAAAAAAAAGTAAATAAAACGAAAATACATATATATCTGTTCATAAATGCAGAAAATTATATTAACTAATTCGAAAGAAGATTGAAAATTTTTAAATTTATTTTCGCCTCAATTTTTTCTTAGCGCGCGCTCAGTCAATTATCGCTTAAAAACCGTATAAATTTTATTCAAACGAGTTTGTTTAAGCTGTGTGCATATTATTCTTTTTTTTTTCCCCTCGTTTCTACCGGCAAAGGGTCCACAGAGAGTTTGGAAGGTAAAAACGCCTCGGAAGTTGAAACTCTGACGAAGGAAATCTTACGATTGTAAGAAAAATATTCTCCCATTTTTCTCTTCTCGGTGAATCTCCTTGGGAATTTCATTATTTCGCGTTGTTTTACAAATGCAAATAATCGCGAGAGTATCGACGAGAGGAACGAGAACAGATAAATTAAGGGGAACAGAAGATTAATGGTATGTATATTATAAATTCGATTGCATCGACGCGTAGTTGTGCAATATAAATTGTTCACATCGTGAGTGAGAAGTTGAATTGCTTTTGTTACGTGAACAGACGCGAGGAGAAAGTTTCAGGAAAATTTCGTCGGTGTGCAAGATGACAGTGAAGTGGGAAAGTTTGTAATAGAGAATGCTTGATGAGGTCGCCGAGTATGTTTTCGTTGTGAAATATTTCTCGTTTGACGTTTATTAGAGGCAAGAATATTAGCTATTGGTGGAATCGAATTAAAAGGAATTCTATGGAACTAGCGAGAGAGAGAGAATTTTCAGTTCATTATGAAAGCAGTTATATTATTTTAAACGACCACTAAGGCGAAAGATAAAATTACACAAAGCACGTAAACTTAATAAAACTTAAGCGTATTTTAAATCTTTTTACATTTTGTAGGGTATCTTTCAAATATCTCTTTTCTAACAAAACCAGATGATTTTAGAAAAATTAGTATATTCAAAATGTTTGATAAGGTGATATTTCATTCCATAGTATACAAACGCTAAAAGAAACATTTATATCCGTGTTTATTTTCACAGTCGATTAACTGTTCTCAAATAAATAAATTTTCAAACATTTTCATCTTTACCGACGCTCAGTGGATAACACAGAACTTGCTATAAAACGCGAAAAATATTATTCGGCATAATGTTACAGAACATGTTGCTTCCTCTTTTCCAACAAGTTTTACTACTCTGCTGTGTAACGTGTTACATTACACAGGGACGCAGCTTAACACGCGAACAATTAGCAATCAAGGACCAAACGAGATCAATTACGGTTTCAGAATACACGTTTATTTCATCGGAAAACGTATCCCGGGTGTT